GGGCCCCGGGCCGGTACGGGGGGAACACTGAGGGTTGCGATCCGCTGCCGGACACGGAAAAAAGACAAAAGACAAAAAAAAAAAAAAGAAAGATAATATGAATCCTTCCATGAACTTTTTGAAGATCCCTCACATAATCTTAGAATCAGCTAAAGAAAATATTCTTGAGGGCCGGCCCGGTGGTGCACTGCTGCAGTGCGCCGCTTGGGAGTGCGGTGGCGCTCCCNCTGAGGGTTGCGATCCGTTGCCGGACACGGAAAAAGACAAAAAGACAAAAAAATAAAAAAATAAAAAAATAAAAATTAGACTTCTCTTCCTTGCTACTAGACATTTAATGATTTTATTATTCATTAAAAATACTAATACAAGAAAGAAAACAAAATCTTCTTAGTATCTGTCTTATTTAATCACTGGTAGAATTTAGGAACAGAATCATGAATAAAATTCACCCCAGAAAAAGTGCTCACCACTTTATAATTTTCAAAATGATCATTACATATACAAGAGTACGTCAAAGAGTTCTGGAAAAATAGAATTGAAAGATAATATGAATCCTTCCATGAACTTTTTGAAAATCCCTCACATAATCTTAGAATCAGCTAAAGAAAATATTCTTGAGGTTGAAAAGTAATGTAAAAAGATATAATAGGGAAGATGATAGGGAAAAGTAAAGTGATAATTTTAACTATGAACAGTATTAAAACTATATAAATTGTGATACCTAAGGGTAATTACAATTTGCATAAGATTATACAAAAATTTTAATTGACTTACAGGTTATTTATAAAAGGAAAATGCCTAAAAATAAAGTTGTAGATTTTTTTTAACTAGCTCTTTCATCATTGAAACTAAATGCCTTTACTAACTGGCAGCACTTAAAAACTCTATCATTAAATAGAGGTGTCTACGAACATGAAACAAAGTGCCAACCATCCTCCAATGGCAATGAGCTACAAAAGAACACAAAGAAAACAACAGTGAACCAGACTAACATGGAAGAACATGGGTATGAAAGCTGAAAACAATCAAAAAGGGGTACGCTAAATAAGAACAAACCAATAGCTTCTTTAGAATGAAACTAATATGGAGAAAACAGACAGAAAAAATAAATAACCAGGTAACTTTGTTAAAGATCTATCTAAAAAAAAAAAAAAAGGTGAGGCTGCTAAGAAATAGAAAAGTTCACTTAAAAAGTCTCTAGAGTGGTTGATCTTAACACTGCAATAGTAACATGCTAGGGCTCACCTGAATACCAAGATCTCAGAGATTTAGTTATTTAAAAAAAAAGAAAGGAAAGAAAGAAAACCTAAATCCTAAAACAAAGAATATGATAACAAGATAAGAAGAAAACCTTGAAGGTCAAAGGAGGTTAGCTGCAGGGAGTGAACTACAGCTATACAGTCCTTGTTTCTCTCATTCACCAGTAGTGTATGTGTTATAATCTATTCCTAAATAATTAGTTATAATCCAAAATGCTGTATCATACGGGCCGGCCCGGTGGCGCACTAAACTAAGGTATAAAATGAATACGTTCCATTTGTCAAAGTAATTTTATGAGAAAAAGTATGTTAAATTATTTAGTTACATGTTCTTCCCATAACATGAAATAAACTTTTACCATTACTTACTATACTGATGGTTTGAGGATATATTTCTACTTGTATGAATTTCATTTGTCAGCTGATCCTAAAAAAAAAACTTGAATTATATGAAGAGTGAAAAAGAACATGCACACAGATTCAGCCACACATACAAATAACTTGGTTCTTACAGTGTCTTTATCTCCCTCTTTGTAACCAGTAGTCCATAAGAAAATACACTGAGCATTATTTACAGATATATTTCTTTAGTACAAAGATACAGAAGCAGATAATTTCTAAAATTCTATGTATCTACAAACAGCATTATAATATTGTGTTCCCCTCTGACTTTGAAACAATACATGTATACATATACATCCATGAATTGGGATCTCACTTTCTACTCAAAGGCAAATTATCTGTTACAGTATCTTTCTGAGAAATATGAGATAGAACTTTTAAATTAACCCACTTCAGAAAATTCAACTGTTCTTCCTTTCTCCTCTAAGTAAATAAACCTGACTAAGACTGGCTTAGCACACTAAAGTTTTAAATTAATCTTTCACTATTCAGAAAATCATCACAAATGCTTAAAACATTTGCCAAGGACATGTTTTAGATCTGAAAGGTATCATCTTTACAACACTCTTAATGTCATCATTACCTTACAAAATACTACAATGTAACAAGAATGCCATCAAAATGAGTGTGAAAATCCATAAATGCAGTTTTAATTTAATAGTACAGATTGTCATCTCACTGTCTAGTGAATGATTTCACAAAGATCTTCAAAAACAAAAGTGCTTTTCTGAAGACATAATGGATTCCAAAAGATGTTTTCCACACTTCTGACTTAGTGATATGCAAGTTACACAAATGACTCATATCCTGTCCTCATTAAGGACCTCTTCTGTTTAAAAAGTTTAGGGAGTATAGTTAGCTCTTTCAAGGATAAACTGAAATTACCAAGATCTGTTCCCTTGATCCCTGGTAAGACAAGCTGCAGTTTACATTCCAGTAGGCGCTAAGACTATCAAGTCGTATAAGCTATAAAAGAAAAATTAAAGAGGTCAAGCAACTAACACACTGAAATTATTAATCAATAGTAAAAAATTATTCCCATGTTCACTACTCCAAAAGGATCCAACTATCATTTTGAACTTTTGGATAAAAGAAAATAATGCAAAAATGGGGAAAAATATATCCCTGTCATAGACTTTAAGTAGAGCATTTGCTAAATTGTGCTAAGAAATACATAATCCCTCCAGCAAATATGAATGGCTGTTACCAGGGAAGGGGTGGTAGGAGAGAATTCTATGATCAACAAGGCGGGGAGAGCTACACACTAAATATCCCTCTTGGAGATTCACAATGGTTACTAGCATACTTAAAGTATTGTGAGGTCCTGTAGTTTAAAACAAAATCAAACACACCTGTTTAATTATGTGCAGCTTAGTATTTTAATCAGCAGTGTTACCTGACTGAAGGATATTTTTTCTATAACATCAAATAATATCTCAATTACCTAATACTCCGTAAAATACCATCTAGGGAAATATTAATTTTATCCAGTTTCTTCATTTGATAGGTGAAGAACCTAAATCTCAGAATATGTAAGTGATTATAGAAGGTCACATGGTAAGTAGCAGAGCCAAAATTAAACTGAAGACTTAACTCACACTCCAATGGCACATTCTACCATTTTTTATTCTGCCAATTTTTATTCTAATATAATACAATACCTTGTATATAATTTTTTCTGCTTCATTCAATATGCATGGAGTCCAATGTTCATTTGCAGTCTAAAAGAAAAAAACAGTAACAGGGAAATGTGGTATACAGATAGTGCTCTAATATCTGTAAACTGTAACAAAATAGCTTAGAAAGAAAAGACATCCAGCTAACGTTGGCTAGTATTAGCTAACTGTTGCTTTACATATTTATATGGCAAAATCAAAAGAACAATGAAAATAGAATTGAGGAGGTTCTAATTTAACTGGCTTCATTCATTCAGAAAACAGTTATTGAGCTACTATGTGTCTGAACGGTGGAAAGAACTGGTTATGAATGAAAACAGAGAGTCAGCCTCTACACTATTGAAGAAAAAATACATTCAAAAAATCAAACAAAATAATTACTTTAAAGTAGGAGACAACCAGGACAATATGGAAATCACACAACCATGTTTCTAGAAGGACAGCATGGTCAGAAATGCCAAATACTAAACTTATTTAGCAGCAAGGGCATTACAGATGAAATTAAGAGCAGCTGCAGTGGAGTAGTGGAGCAAGAGCACAGTGGGTAAGGAGTCAGTGGGAGGTGGAGAAAGAAACAGCAACGGTGAAAAATTCTCTCAAAAAATCTGGTTGGAAAGAACAGAAAGAGAAGGCAGCAGTTAGATGGGGTCTTGGAGATGTGCGGGACAGTTAAGGAGAACCTTTTTTATTTTGTTATAAAGGAGAGACTTGAATGTGCTTAAAAGTTTACAAGAAGGAGTGTGGAGAGAGAGAGGACTTGAAGATTTAGGAGAGAGAGGGAGATTGATGGAAAGAAGTAAGAAAGAGAGGAAGGAAGTCAGGGAGGAAGGCAGGAAAGGAAGAAAGAAAGAGAGGAAAGAAGTCAGGGAGGAAGGCAGGGAAGGAAGAAAGGTTCTTGAGGACTTGGGGGAACATGAAATCCAGATCAGAAGTAGGAAAATTACTTTAGATTTAAAAGTTAGACTGTTTTTGGAAAGATGAAAGAAAGGAATGGTAGGGATACAAAAGGGGTACGTTTGCTGTTATTGTCACTATAATAGCCACTGTAGTAGTTGACACAGAGTAAAGAATTGATCCAGAAAATGTGACAAGTGATTTACACAAACCATCATATTTAATCATCACAAAAACACTGAAAGGTAAGTACTATTGTAATCAGTAGGTATAAAAAGATGAATGTCATTTACATAGAAGGAAATCAGCATGGTAATGAGTACAATAATATATTACAGGTCTTTGATAAAATATAATGAGGAGCATAAAAGAGTAGTAAATTCTAAGAGGGAAGTTAAAAAAGAATGAAGAGGACAAGGTGATATCTCGCATAAGTATTAAAACCTAAGTATAATTGACAGGCAAAAAGAAGAGAATACTACGGGCAAATAAAACAGCAGTAAGAGTCTGAGCTAAAATAAAAAGGATCAAACACCAAGGAAACTACACATTCTTATGCACTAGTACGATGTTATCAGGCAATAGGAAGGTACATAACTACTTTATATTTTTTGTCTGCTAGAAGCTCAAAGTTAAATACCGTGCTCGCTCATAACCACTAGTGTTATTCTCAGTTTTCTGAAACAATTATCTCTCTAGCCTCCAGAACACAGATTCTCATCTCTTTAAATGTATTATTGTATACTGTTTAATCAAAAGCTACTTCAAATTCATTTTGAGAATAGGCAATTAACAGTATTAAACACTAGCTTCCTTGACTCCAGCTCTTTCTCATTGTTTCTGCTTTGTTCTTCAACTCGATGTTTATCTCTACTTCTCTACATGCACATATTCTTAAGGCTCCCACAATAATAATGTCGTTTGTCTCTGCTTTTCTGTTAGTCACTTCCCTTCCATTTTTCTTCCTCTTCTTTCCCCACTGAGGCCCTCCCCATGTAACTAACCATGAGGCAAACCTATACCCAGCATGATTTATCATTCACTGCCCTTAACTTTAAAAGTATATAAATGAACCACATCTTTTTCTCTACATAAAAAGCTAATTTAGCTATTTTTCTTCATTTATTTGCCCCAAAACATGTTTCCTACCACTTAGTTACCCATAATAGTAAAAAAAAAAAAAAAAAAAAAAAGTCCAGCTTGTATATACTACAGTACTCTCTACCCTTAAAGACCTTAAGAGAAAAACTACATTATACTTAATCAAAATGAATTACTTTACATGTATACTAATGTAACACACACACAAACACATGCACACGCATAAGCTACTTGGAAATTTCATCTACATGTGCCTTGCAAGGATGAGTACATAACTCTACAGAAATTTATCTTCCCCTACTTTCCTACATGTTTTAAGATACAGCTTTTATTTCTTTCAAATTGTTTGATATTGGTATTTTGGTATTTGATACATGGAATTACAAATCAAAATAATTAGAAAATGTAATGAGTATGCTAATAATGCTGAACTTCCAGAAAAGCTGTGTATAATAGCAATATTATGTAGCCATAGTTAATTTTAGGCAATTCACCCTGTGACTTCAGAATGTTTTACAGGCTCCACGTGAATTTTAAATAAGGCCAACATTACCAATAGACTAAGTTCTCGCAGTGTGACACCAAATGAAAGAGGCCGCCTTGGATCAGTGACCTGCCAAAGAAGAAAAAGTGACATTAAAATATACTGATAGTAAAGTTGAATCCATGCCCCACCCTTTACAATAGGCAGCAGAGGGAAATGTGTTTACAAGTCAGTCACACAGCACAACTGGATTTGTGGAAAAGAAAGGGAAGGAAGGCAATAGCATGGCTAGAAATGTTATTAAATATCCATATTTTGTAGAAATAACACTTCTATGACACTAATATACTTTCCTAGTAGAACTGTTAATAGGAGAGGACTCACTAACTATGACTAAACAGACTTTTCTCTAGATAGTTAAAATGGGATAGTCTTTTTATGTGCCTAATTAGAGATGTTCTTCATAGATAAATTTTTTAAGGGTGTTACAGATAATAACACTGACAATAAATCATTTTTAAAGCATTTAAGGTTTCCAAACTTGGAAATGTGAACTGTCTCATTGAGCCTTTAATTTTCTTGAGATTTCAAAACTGCTTTGTTAGGGAAAAACTCTAGATTCTAATATTTAACTTCCTTAGTCTCTTTACCCAAAATTTGCCAATGTTAATCTTTTGCTCTATTTCTGATCTTCAATATCTAAATTATATTTACACACAGTACTGAATCCATACCACATGTGTATAGTGTCACTGTTTTAGACATCTTAAAGATGTTCAAAAGTAATATAGAATTGTTTTGGTCATGAGAGAAACAAGGGATGGGGGAAAAGTATAACATTCTGAAATATAACATCATTTTACTTCTAAGTGACAAACAAAAAGTGTATATATTTATAGAATACAATGTGATGTTTCAATATATGTATACATTGTGAAATGATCAAATCAGGGTAATTAACATATCTATCACCTCACATATTTATCATTTCTTTGTGGTGAGAACACTTAAAATCTACTCTTAGCAATCAAGAAATATACAATTTTTAACTATAGGCACTAGACTGTGTAATAGACCACCAGAATTTATTCCTCCTGTGTAACTGAAACTTTGTACCATTTGGCCAACATCTCCCCTTCTCCACAACACCCGCCCCAGCCTTTGGTAACTACCATTCTACTTTCTCCTTCTTTTTTTTTCCCCCCTTTTTGTCTTTTTTCGTGACCAGTAACGGGATCGCAACCCTCGGTGTCACGCGCACACCGCGCTCAACCAGTGAGCGGACCGGTCTCTATATGGGATCCGAACCCTCGGCAGGAGCGCCACCGCACTCCCAAGCGCCGCACTCT